TTGTTAAGTGAGTTTCACCACATGTTACAAATTGGCCATGCCCAGCCAGTCACATGGCCGGCAAGCCACTCCCACAAAGCAGGCCACACCTACAGAAGAGGTTCTAAAAAATTTTGAAACCCACCACTGGTTAGGATAAACTTTCCCAAAGAAAGTTGCTTCACTGCTTTCCATAGTTTGTCAGTCCCCTTTCTGAGTTCTGTGTCTTTTTTCTTCTGACATACTGTAAGTGGAAAAACAGCAGGCAAAAAAACCTCTTCTAATGTTTCAACTCCACATGTAGGAAAAGAATCACGCAAGAGCTAAGACACCATCTAGAATTAACAAGGAGGTTTAAAGTCTGAAGCATTTTTTTTTGCTTTATGCATATGTGATACCTTTAATTTTTGAAGTCCTACATATAATACATGCACCTCAAGAATCTTTTAAGTATACAGGATTCAAAATGCCTTGAAAAATGCTCTAATTTTAGTCCTTTCAAATCTCTTGCAAAACCAAGTTCAATGCTTCATTTTATAAGTAAAATTGAAACCAGGAAAGAATTTATATTACACATTTAATGCCCTGTAAAATAGAGAATTATGCGGGCCATTTACTGAACAGAATGGATCATCTACTTATAGAAATTATTGCACTGAAGTTCCACTCTAAAGAAAATCAAGTATTGTCCAGGACCATTTAGTTACTGTAGGCACTAGAAAATCTGAAACCATTATATTGATTAACAAAAAGTATTTGCAAAAATAGCTCTTTGAATACTTAAATTACCTGCTGCTTCTATTACTGTCATTACATGATTGCATTCTGAAACATAATTTTGTAACTGATGAATAATTATCTGGTAAGGTGCTGCAATTTTATAGCCAATTTTAGATAACTAAAATCCCTCAACCTGCTGGGATTTACCTCTGATATATAGATTTCTGATACATACTTCTGACACATAGATTTATACTATAGGTAATCTTCCAGTTTCTTCAATTTGGATTACAACTCCCAGTAAATTGGTAAACACCAAGTAGAGGAGGGGCAGGTACTCTGTAAATATGAGGTTGAGTCTCATTGAACTCACTGCAGTTTACTTCTTAGCAGTCATGTGTGGAATCACATTGTTAATAAACATTTATAGTTCCTATGCTTTTCATGGAACAAATTGACTTGTGGAATCCCTATGCTAGCAGTAGTAAATGGCAAAACAGACAAACAGGTTTTGGGATAAGAAGTATTTCTTTTTGAAAAGTAAATTAGTTTATGTGCTCTATAGAATGCATTGATGGACTTCCCATGATGTTTTTATCTTCATGAAGCCTCTTGTTGATTGGTTGGGTAGAAGGTTATGAAGGGATTGGTACAAACAAAAGTTGGTTTGAACTGGAGGACTCCAAGCTTTCCTGAATATTAATAAAATGTCAATGACACATTGATAAAATAGAGCCTTTACAATGCAATGTTTGAGGTTCAGGGCTAGGACTGTTGATTCAGGAACAAGTCCACCTTAAGTTATGGAAACTCATTGGGAGATTTAGTAAATTTGTAGAAAGGAATATAAAGTATGTCCCTCAAACTCCTGGAGAAAAAACACCAAGCTATAAATCATCATGAGTACCACGGTCAGGGCCGGATTTAGATGAAAAGAGGCCCTAGGCTATTCCACTTATGAGGCCCTT